TGCCTGCGAGTCTAATAATAATTCATGGTATTGCATTAAGCAGAATTCTTTGCTCTCTAAAACAAGACCAACGCGCTTGTCAATACGATACTCCTAGGCAGAGATATCGGCTCCTAAACCTCCCTCTCCACATGCCAAACGCCGCCTCCGAATCCACTTCTGCTCCCATCCTTCACGCGGCTAAGCGTTGCTTCGTGAGAGTTCGGTTTTCGCCATAATTTTATGAATGATTTTCGGTGCAGGTGCAGGGTGGAGGTGACTTTCGGGCCATCGCCTATGCCCTTATCTCCCATTATCTTTCCTAGCACGGCTAATGCCCGTCATGATGGAGCCGGCAATGTTTTTTTAATTAAGTCTCTACAACGCAGCTAGTAAGAAGTACCAAATTGGGCATGTGACATCAATTATCAGCGCTCCAAGAGCGTGACGGAAACGCATAGCCGAAATGCTTAGACGCGTGAAGGATGGGACAGAAGTGGATTCGAGGCGGCGTTTGGCATGTGGGAGGGGAGGTTTAGGAGCCGATATCTCCGCCTAGGAGTATCGTATTGACAAGCGGTTGGTCTTGTTTTAGAGAGCAAAGAATTCTGCTTAATGCAATACCATGAACTTATTATAGACTCGCAGGCAAAGTAGAATAATGTTGTCGTGAAATAGCACTATTTTCCCGTTTTTCCAGCAAGTGTCCCATCTTATTGTATATACTCTAGGTATTATTAGCTCTTGATATTATGTTACATAGCCTAGGTACAAATGGCCGCCATGTTGCAGAGCCGCGGGCGGTTGCCAGGCTACCCGTGTAACCTCCAGCTGCCATTTCGCTTTCACTTGTGCGTAATCAGCGCATTATTAATGAGTAACAGACGCCACTAATCGATCTGTAATCTACCGGCATCAGATTTCACTTCTCTCTGCAGACACTAGCAACAGTAGCATCAAATTTCAGCGATAACAGCAACATCAGCAGCAGCAACAACAGCAGCAGCATCATCAACAACAACAACAATAACATCAACAACAACAACAACAACAACAACAACAACAATATCATCATCAACAACAACAACAACAACAACAGTAGCAGCAGTAGTGGTAGTAGTAGTAGTAGTAGTAGTAGTAGTAGTAGTAGTAGTAGCAGCAGCAGCAGCAGCAGCAGCAGCAGCAGCAGCAGCAGCAGTAGCAGCAGCAGCAGCAGCAGCAGCCTCAAAGTACAGAGATAACAGCAGCAACATGAGATAATACTACAGGCCTTAATATTCTTCTACTCACAAGTGGCATGATCACAATTTGGCAGAACAATCCTACGAGAGGCGCTGCCGGATTCGACCGCAAGAGGTCTCTGACGGCGTGGAACTCGAGCTTGACGCCGAAGCCGACGGTGTGAGCGACGAGGAACGCCTGTATGATGATCTGTAAAGAAAGCGAACAACGTCACGAAATCAAGTTAATTTCTATAAAATAAACAATTTTTTTTACCGATTCCGGTTTAATTTTGTAATTCATTTTCTTGCTGCACCGAATTCGATACGAGTCGATATATTATTTCGTCTGCTCATCGCGCCCCGTCGACAGCGACACCTGGTGGATGATTCATCTCTCGGGGCAGACCGACGATGCGATGAATTCGCGTAATAAGCAGGTTACTGATGAGGAATATGGTGAGGACAACATTAACGAACGTTGTCATACTTGTACTACTTAATGTCCTATCATCCTCTACTACAGTGATTCTTGACGTTTTTCTGAGTCATGCAACCCTGTGATATTCTGGTGAAAGCTACGGACCCCTTCCCAGAAAAATGCACATAAGGTGATTACGGACTAAGGATGACTTAAGGTGCAACTACGAATCTTCTGAAGCCTATCCACGGAGTCGATGGACGACAGGCTAAGAACCCCTGATCTATACTGTAACCTTGGCCTTACAATATTTCATTGTTATAGGAGATTCACGTTCGATTACAAATGCGGTTTTACGTTTGTACCCCAGGCACCAAAAGAATGATACCATGTTCAGTGGTATCAAATCTAATATTCAACATATGTACGCCTTCCTCCTAGATAATTCAATAACAAAGGGCGATGGCCTGCAGTGAATGATGCCAACTCACAGTAATCATCACATATACGCACATGCACACGCACGCACGCACGCACGCACGCACGCACGCACGCACGCACGCGCACACACACACGGACACACACACTGTCCTTAACACGAACACGACAGACTTCAGAAACGCTCTCTTCCCTCGCTCTATATATATTATAGAGGATTATATATATATCATATATATATATCGGATATACGACCGGACCGGGACGACGACTTCCGCCGGATGTCGGCTCACCTGGAACGCGCGCTGAATCGCCTCGTTGCACGTGATGCACGGCAGCGTCGCCGCGCCGACGCACGCCCGCGTCACGTTCCCGTCGCCGACGCAGAAGACCAAGTGCGCGTGACCGACGCGGAGAGCGGTGACGCTGACGTTGCCGCTGACGTTGACGAGGTCTGCGTCGCAGTCGTCGATACGGACGACGCTTGCGTCGGCAGCGATGATGCCGTCGCTCGCCTCCACGCGCAGTGCGCATGCGCTCAGGTTGAGACCCGCAAGACTTGCCGTGACGTCGTATGAGACAAGCTGAGGCACGTTGAGACACAGCGTGCTCGGCCTCACGACGACGTCGACGATGAAACCTTCCGTATCCCTGCAGCAGCATCCGAGGATGAGGATGCTGGCAAACAGCAGCGTCATCCCACCGCCGGCGCGATGCGGCGTCGCCATGGTGATTGCCGCCTAGAAGCCGGATGGAATCGCCGTGTAAGAGACGTCACGGTTGCTAGGTACATGATTTTCCAACGAAATTCATGATTTTTCGAATAACGAGTGCATGAATTCCTCTATCAATCGATTTCTCAACTAATTTATAAATGCGTTGCAGTCATTCAATCAATCCACGAGCAACTATAAAATTAGCTAATTAAATAAATACAAAAATTAATCAATTAGCCAATCAATTAATTAATTTGGAAAGGTTCAGTGTCGGCGCAATGCGACTAACCTAGCTGCTAGCTATAAGAGGATGCTGAGGCTACGATGGAGTGATGTGACAGAGCAGCATGCAATGCATGCATGTGCTGCATTTTATCAGCCAGCAGCGAGATTCACGTATAAGTCTATTTATGTTCACGTTAACAACTAGGTCGGGATCCCTATCTTACCTGCGTGGCGTTACCTCGTTACCTGCACTCATATCATGCCCGTGTTACGTTATTTGCCTAAATATCATGTCCATGTCACGTTATATGCCTACATATCATGCCAGAGTTACGTTATCCGCAAACATATCATGCTTGATTTACGTTAAGTTTACACACATCATAGCAATGTTACGTTCACCGTACACACATCATACCTGTTTTACGTCATGTTACATCTCCGGTAGGCGCAGGTGAAGTCCGCTCGTGCGTGTGCGTGCATGACGAGTGAGAGAGAGAGTGACGACGCAGCAGCAGCTGCCGCAGCGACGCACCTGTGAGTGCTACCTCTCACGTAAATGAGCAATGCCGTTTGTTGTATCCTGATGCGCCTGACAGGTACGTTTATATCTCTTTTTCTATCTCTCTCTATCTCTCTCGCTCTCTTCTCTTTTCTCTCTTTCTCTCTCGTCTCTCTCTCCTCTCTCGCTCTCTCGCCGCGCTCCTCTCGTCCTCTCTCTCGTCTCGCTCTCTCTCTCGCATCTTCTCTTTCTCATCGTGTCGTGTTCGCGCGGCGGCGCTACTGTCTCTCTCCCTCCCTGCGCTTCGCACTCTCTCACATCACTCACTCTCTCTTTTCTTCGCTTCTCCTCCACTATATCTCTCCCTCGCTCGTCTTCGTTCCTCTTTCTTCTTCTGCTTCGCTCTCTCTACCTCTCTCGCCTTTTTTCTTCCGTTATTATATCTCGCTCGGCCGCGCCCACTCGCTCTCACTCATAGGCTGGCTGTTGTGCCAACCGAGAGGGCTGACTTGTCTCTATTACAGAGAGGAGAGCGAGAGAAGAGAGGGAGAGGGAGAGAAGAAGGGAACGGGAGGGATCGTATATGAGCGGGCTACCGGGCGACCGCGCCGAATACACGGCGCTCCGTTCCTGTCGGCGCTTCGTCGGCTACAGTCGCACAGCCGTGCTAGGTGTTGGCGAATTCGTTCATCATTTAATATTTCATACATCATGCACCATCGTCCGGCGTGTGTGGGCGGTCAGGACTGTGTGTGGTGTGTGTGGGTGTGATTGGTGGATCTGTCAGTGTCGTGTGGTGAGAGAAGGTCGACCGAGAAGAAAATGTGTGGTGGGGGAAAGCGGAGATGTGTTGTCGATGCGATGCACTTCTGAAGTGGGTGAGTGTGTGTGGTATGGTGAGCAGAGAGGAAGTGATGTGAGTGATGTAGAGTGGTGAGTTGCGTTGACTGTGCGTCGGTAGAGGGTGCGTTGTGCCATGAGAGTCGGTTGTGGTGCTGTGGACAGTGGACAATGAGTGGATGGTGTGATAGTGTGGTGGGAGGGTTGCAGGTGGGTTCGAGGTGTGTAAGTGCGCGCGCGTTGTGTGTGTGTGTGTGTTGGGTGGGAGGAGGACTTCTATAGCAGAGCGAGTCGTTAGGGAAAGACCGCGAACTCCACTCGGCCCTCTCGCTTCTTTGATATTCTGCGATCCGACTTACTCTCTCTCTCTCACTCACTCTCTCTGCCTATCTCGATTTTCACACCATCAACATTTCCATACCACTCATCCTCCTCTTCTTCTTTCCTTTTCTCTCTTGGTCTCTCTCGCTCTCTCGCTCGCGTCTCTCTCTCTTATCTATCTTCCTGTTCTGTCGTCGCGCGACGTCCGTCCTTCCGCCCGTTCATTTATCTTCTTCCCATCTGATCTATCCATCCATCCGTCCATCGCATTGCATCATCCTCTATATCGCTGATATAAGCTCAGCCATCTATTTTGATCCAATCTATTCATCCATCCATGCTATTTATCTATCACCCCAGCCTTTCATTACCTTTTCTCGTGCCTCTCTCTTTCTCCATCTGGCCCCTGCTCTGCTTTTCTCACTATCCCGCTCCCTTCCCTTACGCCTTCTCTCCCCCTTCGCTCCATCGCCGCCAAAGTTTGATAAAGATGGACAAGAGCGCGTGTACAGTCCGGGCCTCGAGAAGTAATGTATTAATGTGGTTGAATGGAGGTCAAGTGAGAAATTTCTACACTTCTTAGTTTTATGGTCGCAGCAGGGGTTTGCTGGGGTATACGCGGTATAGTCCGCAAGGAATTCGCTCGGCATCTTTCGCTTAAAGGTGGTTTATACGATGTTCTGGCATACGATATAGGGGCGTAGTTTGCCTCATTAAGTAAGTGCATCTTAGAGTATAGTATTATGATTAGAAGTATATATATTGATATTCTATATACATGTATATATATTCAAGAGTACTAATAGAAATGAAGTGACAGGAGGAGGACCGGAGAGAGGAGCAGCATGATGAGGCTGAGGAGGATGAGGAGGAATAGAGAGGCTCGAGGGGAGGCGAGAGTGAGTGGATGAGGGGGAGGAGTGGAAGGAGAGGCAGAGGAGACGGAGGAGTTACAATGGCTAGTACAGAACTCCGTTCCAATTATCAAACACTAGAAGGGATCGTAACTTAGTGCGATAACTCGACTGTTTCATTGATGGATAGAAACTAACGCTACGGTCTCCGCCGTAAGCTAGATAATATCATTCGTTCATCGTCAGTCCGTGTCTCTCTCGGCCCTGCGCACAATTATCGAACAATGCATTTACTGCAGTCACTTGTTCTTACTCTGTAATGTGATGTGATAATGTGCGCATGCATACTGCATGTGATGATGATTCTATCATTTATAGACCAGTAGAGATGTATGTCAGCTAGTCCCTGCGCCTGCGGCCGCGCGTGCGTGCGTATACGGGTGTGCGCGTGCACGTGTGCGTTCCTACGTATCATATGTACGTGCATGTGTGCGTGTGCGTGGGGAGGGTGCGTACGTGTGTGTGCGTGCACGTGTGCGTTCCTACGTTTGTGCGTGCGTGCATGTTGCGTGAGTTCGGGTAGGCGCGCGCGCGTGCGTACGTGTGTGTGCGTGAACGTGTGCGTTCCTACGTGTGTACGTGCATGTGTGTGTCGGGGGAGCGTGCGTACGTGTGTGTGCGTGCATGTGTGCGTGAGTTCGGGCAGGCGCGAGAGCGTGCGTACGTGTGTGTGCGTGAACGTGTGCGTGCACGTGTGCGTTCCTATACGTGTGCTTTCTTACTATACACACATGCAAACATTTAACAGTGAACTGGTTCTAATATCTCGCCAACGAATTGATTGACATTTCTATGTATATACTATTAGGAGTGTATCAATACACTCCTGATACTACCTATGTGTAAGCCACATGTCTAAGGTATGAATAATGCTTGTATCGCTGTGAGTACATGCTTGCTGGCTGCGGCGACGGAAAGGAGAGGAAAAAGAGGACGAAGTAATGATCAATCAAGGGATGCGGATGAGGATCAGTGAGTAGGAGAGAAGGGTGAGCGGCAATGTTTAGGGTTGGCTAAAAATCAATCCATATCCTGCATATGGTTTTTTTCGGATGAAAATGTTATTGCTCAGTCAGTATCGCAAACAGTACAATGCGGCGGTTACAGAGAGATACTGTTATCATGCCTAGCCTTGTATCAGGGGCGGATCCAGGGCTGAAGCTAGACAGTATTTTTCCAGATGTTAAGGGCACATCCCCCAAAAAGGGCACACCGCCCCACAGTGGGCGCCGTAAGGCGCGGAAGCACATGGCGGGGGGTCTGGGGCTCCCCCAGAAAATTTCAAAATTTCAAAGGTCCCTGGGCACAAAAATGAGCACCATTTGAGCACACATTTAGTCAAGCAGCAATAGCTAAAAACCATATGGAATTTTATTTCTGCTT